TGAAATGAATTATTATTTAAATAAATAAATAATATTCAGAAAATATGTAGATATATAATAAAAAATAGGATGAAAATTTTATTAATTTAATTTAGAATAATTTTCTAAATATAATATTATCAGTGGATGTACTGTATTCATTATTACCATTATCATCATAAAATAATAATCATCAGATAATAGAGATATGTGACTATAAAAACAATATCATATAACTAGATGTGATTATAAAATACAATATGCTTTGTAATAAATAGTTTCAAATTGAATAAATTCAACTTAAAAAACAGCTGTGATATTTAATGTATTTGTCACATTGATAACACTCCTTGAAACTTTTGCCTAAAATGTTATGATAATGACATAATTTTCTTCATTAATAACTGAAGATATTATTGCTACTATATATAATAATTGAAATAAACATGTACAAAATATGAGTCAATTAAAATTAAAAATATAAATTAAATACTTAAGAAAAAAATACAAAACTGACTCAATTTCGAACCACACCGTTTAGCTTCAAATTAGGTCCACATATCTTTCACTTTTTTAATTTGCTAAATAAATTTTAACTTCATTTATTTGTAAAATAAGTCCGATGGTGATCAGAATGACGTGCAAGATCAATCACCTTATGTAAAGTTACAAATATGCACAATATCGTTAATGCTCATGTCAATAACAAATTACTTATTTTTTCCACGTAACTCATGCGGAATGTGAATTAATATAATTTCGTAAAATGATAAGAAAATGACATTTAAATTATATTATATAAATTATAAAAGAGTACAATTTTATTTTAATAACACTAACAATTATAATATATGATGAGAAAAATTATTTGATACATTATAGTAAGTCTTATTGAACTTTATTTATTACAAAAATTCAGTAGCCATAATATGTTCTTGTCATTATCTTAAGAGAAAAAAAAAAAAAAAAACATGTGTCAAAATAACAAGAAAATAGCAATAGTTAACACATTATGCTAATTTTATTCATCGAAATTTATAGTTGCATAATTGTGGATCAATAAAGAGATTAAACTGTAGGCAGTCAAAATGAAACAAATGATATTAATTAAAAATTAATTAAACAAACTATGTATTTTGGGTTGATATCAACCAAACAAAAATTAAACAAACTATGTATTTTGGGCTCAAATTATTCAAGCATTTAGGACCAAAACTATTACGAAAGACCTCATATACACCAAATATTCTATTAAATATTTGAATGATAAACATACATTGTCCTACTTTGTCTAGACAGTCAACATCGTCCATCAATTCTTCTCTCCCTTATGGTTGAGACACCCTCAATATTTCAGTTATTAATATATTTTTTTTTACTTCACAATATCATTCCGCAATATTAGTCCATTTCTACGCGTAAATAAAACCATATTTCGATGTCATGTTCAAAAACTAAATCATTTAATTTTTGCTTTGTTCACAAATTGTGACAATAAACGTCCATCTAAAAGTAGAAAAAAAAATATATAATTGTCTATATATATCAAATTAGTTTTTTTTCCTATATACTTTCCAATGTTTATTTTTTCTTTATATTTATAGATCATATTAAGGTAACGATTAAGATGGGTCAAGCAATAAGAATAAAACTAACAATTGTGATGAATAAACCATATTTAGCTTATTTTGTTAATATAAACATTGATATAGTTCTTGGAAAGCAATAAAAATAAAATAGTTAAATTGTAATATATAACACTAATACAACAAAATTTAAAACTAACAATTGTGACGAATGATTAAAAAAATAAAAAATAGATAGTTGTATTTGTACTATTTCGTGGGAAGCTTTATTTGTCGTAATGTTTTGATAAAGACAATATTTTACCATCATTCTTATGAAAACAATATAGATATAAGAATAATAAATTAAGAATAAATTAACTCGTTATGTTTTTTATTAAGGAATTATAATTTTATAATTATAGACCAATAAAAAAATTTAAAATGATGGCAAAATGTTTATGCACATTGTATAGAATGCCTCTTCATTATTTTGACAAATTAAAATAAATAACTTATTGTTGTTATGTGATTTCTAACAACGATGTAACAAGTGATTAAGATGATAATTATGAACGGTTTGGACGTAAAGCATGTAGAAATAACTCAACAATGACCCCGGTCCGAGGTGAACCGAGGTGAAGAGCCGTGATGGGCTTTTACGTGTTGCATGTTTTATGAATTCGGGATCCCCGTACAAATGTCATTGGGTTGCTATTTATAGCAACTTTTTTGATGGATACATTGGAATTTGTGTATCACTTTTTGTATAAAGTAACTTTTGGTGGGCGGTTTGGAGCAGTGGTCCCCACATGAATGATGACGAATCTCGTAGAGTGTGATGGGAGTGTGTAGGCGCCTCGTCACCTGCTTAAGGAGGTGACGACCTCGGTTAAGGTAGACCTCGGTAGGTATTGATCACTTCGGTCTTCGGTAGTTCGGACCGGTTCACTGCGTGGACCGATGTGGTTGAGGGTCACATCGGGTCAATTGTTAATTTCTCTTAACATGATGCTTGAAACCTCTTAATGGTGTTTTGCCGAGTCGGACGATAACAGAGAGGCCCCCAATATCGGTGGGCATACGGAGTGATGGTCATCGATGTTGCCAAACATTTAGAGGCTCCGAATCGGTAAAAAGTCAGCGGCAGAGTGTTTATCGTCTTAGGAGAGTCATCTTCGGTCTCCAGACGTAACCGAGGTAACCGAAGTGAGTTGCTTGTTCCGAAGTGCAGACTTTATTCCGAGGTGAAGACACTTGGTAAAATTCGAGTAATTTGCAGGCAGTCGCGACAGGAGGAATGTGAATAGTCGTAACGGTCAACGATTTAATGTCAGAATGAACGGTCGCGCCGTAATGGTCTTAAGTGAGGTAACGGTCGGCTTTAATAGGTTGCCACGTGTAACAGTAGGCATCTATCAGACGAAGAGATGGCGCCGGTTGGAATTAGGGGTCGCGTCGGTTGGACGCGCCCCTAATTAAGATCCCCAACGGTCATAAATCGGAAATTATAAATAGGGTTTCGCGATATTTGATCGAGTTTTCTTCACCTTTGCTTTGATTCTTGGGTTTTTGCATCGTATTATCGTTGAAATTCTTCCGAGAGTGAGAGTTCGAGAGTTGTTTCTTGTGCACTGTGTGTTTGCGGATCTTTCGGTGAGTTCTTTCTTCGATTATTCTTTTATTTCTTTTGTATTCTTGTTTTATTGTGCGATGGCGTCAAAGGGAAAGG